TATTTAATACATTCATTACACACAATGTTTATATATTTCAGAATAAATATGTATGCTTGTTCTATACATTGTACAATAGATAAAACTAAACCCTAATAATGGACAAGTTTTACTATTTTGGTAACATTAAATATTCTGCAATGATTTATAATTTTACAATTATGACGTTTATGTTTTTAATAGGAGATTGATGATAATCTCTTGTATGAGAGAAAAATAATGTTTAATCTCTTATGATATAAAAATCTTTTAAGAGTACATCTATATGTTAATTACTCTTTCTAACTTACTATATCAGTTTAAATTAGCCTCGTTATTAAAATGAATCATTAGAATATTCTATTTTAATTACTGATTCTATATTTCATTGACGCATTACACTGTATTAGCAATTCTCTGAACAGTCAACTCTTTAATATTTATAGAATGTTTTTTTCATTCATTTAACCTATTACAGTTGTGTAATCCAAGAAAAACATTATGAAGGGAAGCCTGTTGAATTCAATATATGTTGTGATCAAAAACTTAATTTAAAAATCAAATTAATTAAAAATGCGAACAAAAATAAGTGTTCTACCGCGTAACATTCTTCTAAGGCAGAGTAATTTATTCCCATGTATAATCCTTGTTATACTAACATCAAAAAGAAACGTCTGAACTTTTCTTGTCATAAAGTAATATTAAAATTCCTCTTATGTTTCCATTTGATTTCTTCTCTTAATACAATTATACCATTTCATCCTGTATCCTTCACTTGTTAAGGCAGACAGATCTCATAATACAAAAATGCAATTCCTACGTACACCTTATTATGCTTAAATTTATACACATATTAAAAAAATACGTCAAATCCGAAAACAAACATTGTTCAATGAACATTAAGTAATTATTGATTTCTTTAATTTTAATAATTTTAAATTAAGTTCAAACATTAAGTTTTCCTTTTTTGCTACAAATTTTATTATTTAATCAATGAAAATATGAAAAATGATATTTTATTTAAACTACAGAATACATTTCATGTAAAACTAATAATGATACCGTAATTTTACAAAATATAAGAATACCAAATAATTAACAACATCGATTTTAATTGATAAAAGGCATCAATTAATTTATTTTGATAAAACATCTTACAATGAATATTAATAATAACTAATTTATAATCAAGCGTATCTCTCTGAGGCACTGCAATCCTCTTGAACCTGTCATTGCAAATTTTTTTTTCTTCAGGACATGTCTAATATGTATAGGAAATAAGCAGCATAAGTATGCACTATAAATTGTGTATTAGTGTAAAAAGAATAGGTGAAATACTTTATTGTCAAGTATCTCGATTAAAGTAATCAATTTAAAAAGATATTTAAATTGAAAAATTAATTCCAAGATTATGATTTTTATGAGATCTGTGTGCTAGGAAGGAGAAGTATAAATTTGGAGTAATAGTTGAGTGGAAACTATTGGTTTCACCTAAACTCATAGATCTGTATACTATGTTCTGGAACATGTTTTAAATTCAGAGATTGATACCTGAAATAATGAAAATTTCATTGAAAATTTTTGCAGATTTCTAATAAAAATAAATTTGTGTGCACAAAAAAAGTTATACATAAGCATGAACTTAAATGAAAAAAATATATGAAAATTAAAAAAAAATATATTGTTATTGTAACAATAATGTGCAAAGTATTACTCGTTTCCTTTATATTATAACACAAACCATATGGAACAAGTGTTTGCAAATTTTTGATAGTTTTATATATAACTAATTATGGTAAGAATATTCTTTATTTGCTTATATAATAGAACATTACCATTCAGAACTACGATGATAATAAAAACCTTCAATTGTAGCAGCAGATTTTTGGAAGCAAATGTAATAAAATCCTGCAAAGGAGGCACCACTGATATCTTTAACAGTATGATCGGGAACTAAGAAATGTTCTTTCCATCTCATAAAAACAAAATCAGTTCCTTTCACAGGCTCATAATCAAATGTGTCTGAATTAAAAGTTTTGGCATATTGACAAAACGATTCAAATTTGCTCTGTAATTATTAATAAATAAATCCACACGTAATAATATAAATTAATACATAGTTAAATACAGAAAAGAGTACAAACCCAATGTTTTTTATCAACATCTTCATCTGCGTCCCATTTACGAGTTAAAAAAGGATACTTTTTTGATATAATTTCACCATCAAAAAATGTTGTCAAAGTTGGATATTCTTCTGTGAGATCTTTAATTTTGAGATAACCACACAAATAACTATTTTCCTCGTCCACGTGCTGCAATAAAAAAATGTTTTAGAGATGCCTGAAATAATGTAGAGACGATTTATACTTTATAACAAAGACATTCTTTAATGAACAATGTGGTTTTCTTAGTAGAAATATACGACAACTACAAAGAGATGATACAATATTGAATGGTAATGACGATAGGCAGAATTTTATTAAAAACCTTCCTAATAATATCGTAATACATTAGCAATGATATCAAAGAGAAGAAACTCAAAAAGGTGTTGAAAAGTCTTGAATCACTGAATGCATAAACATTGATTAAATATGACACCGACAATACCTTCAAAAGTCCTACTCTCCCTTTTTATAGAAAATATTTTTAAAAAATTCCATTCTAAGATTACAAGTGAAGAAAATGAAAAAACAATAATATAAAAGAATAACAGATATGACAAAACTAAAAATTGCTCCATGACTTTGATAATTTGTGTTTTTCCCCTTCATTCATGACTTTGATAATAAGTTAGATACTAAAATGTATCTGCCTTAATTTCATATACGAGCATAAGAGTAGAAAGTAACATTCTGGAAATTATCTTTGTAGGTTATATGAAACAATGAATATTTTGTAATTATAAATAATATCATTAATCGATTGTAATACAAAGCTGTAATGTATTTATAGAGAAAAGAACATAGGATCAATCGTTAAACGGCAAAGACAGATGTCAAGGGTACGTTAGAAATTTGGGATACTTGTGGCGCAATTTCCAGAAAGTTGAAGAACTAACCTGTAAAACAACTTCTACGTCGTAACTGTTGCCTTTAGACTTTTGAGAGCCTTGAAATCGCGAACCGTTGTAAAGCAAAGATTTTGTGACACCCGGCTGCTTTGAGTTTGCGGGCGGTGGGGGTACAACGTCAACTTTCACCGGCATTCTCGGCTCAAGCAAACGTTCTTAAACTTTGCCCTCGTTGGGCGACAAACTCTTCATCACAAGACTCTCGCAATGACTGCCGGTAATTTTCAGGATGTAGATGTATTTATACGAAGCCTCGAACCCAGACACACTCGCGATTGTAATTTCTACACAAAGAATTAGTTTCACGTACTTTCAAGAACGTTGCTTTTCAATATATTCACGTTACTTAAATCTTTTTTATAAAAATTGTACGATCACTTTTTTATTCGCGATTAAACAGCAATATTTTCATTTGTTTCGTTAAATTTTATATCGATGTCATGTATGTGGAAACTTCGTTCTATTTTGCCGGATATACGAACATCTGTCATTTTAAAAAATTTCAATACTATCTTTCATTGATTCCACCCCATATTTTGCCCCTTCGTTATTAATTTATTTGCTGTCACGATTTCTTTGCACCTGTACAGTATACGAATTAAAATACTTTTGCGTTTGAGAAAGAAAAAGTGCAATAAAGTTTTTAAATTTATTATTTTCGAAATGATCACTTTGTTTGTTTTCCCGCCGTACGTTTCTATAATTATAATAGTGACGTTGTATTTTGAGCGAAATCAAGATATGTTAACGTTTAGCTTATATCAATTAAATTTGATCTCGAGAAAATATTATAGAATTATTTTTCCATTTAAGAATGTAATATTAAGATACTGATTTGATTCATTACAGAACCTATACAGTGTAATGTAGACGAGTTCAAAGCAAGTATGGCGGATTTCACAGACACAAATTCACACGAAATGACAGAAAATCATGTTCAAAAGTGGTGTAATAACCAATGGGTTCGATTAAATGTTGGTGGAACATATTTTTTGACAGCGAAAACTACACTAGCCAGAGATCCTAATTCGTTTCTTTATAGATTGTGTCAAGAGGATTCTGATCTCATCTCAGACAGGGTTAGTTTAATGTTTCAAGATAACCGCGAACTTTAAAATGTATAATTTATACACGTTATACAGATATCAAGAAAACTAATGCCTGTAAGAATGTAAGAACTTTTATCTGCTTTATTCGGTACAGGATGGAACTGGAGCATATTTAATAGACCGTGATCCAACATACTTTAGCCCTGTTTTGAATTACTTGCGTCATGGGAAATTAGTGATTAATAAAGATTTAACAGAAGAAGGTGTTCTAGAAGAAGCAGAATTCTATAATATTACAGAATTAATTCGACTAGTCAAGGAAAGAATTATATTGAGAGACACTAGACCATTACGGGATTCAAAGAAACATGTTTATAGAGTTCTTCAGTGTCACGAGGATGAACTAACACAAATGGTTTCGACAATGTCTGACGGATGGAAATTTGAACAGGTATTTTATTCTCTAAAGCTAATAATTATTTCATAAATGTTACAATTGAATTCCTTTTTAATATTCTTTAATAGTCAATTGATCTGGCTTGCATTGGAATAACTATTCAGTCCACAGAGAAATAATATATTTAAATAAACTAATGAAAGTATTAATATTTACTTTAAAAGTCACAATAATGTAACTTTACTTGTTTTAGTTAATCAATATAGGATCACAATATAACTATGGAAATGATGATCATGCTGAGTTTCTATGTGTGGTTAGTCGTGAATATGGGGCCAGTCAATTAAACAGCAAGGAACAAGAGTCAACGGATCGTGTTAAGGTATCAAAATCGCATTCAAGTTTTTCACATAATTATCTGAACCAAAACAATTATCTATAATCTTATTATGGTTTGACTAAATACTT